TGGTGTTGTCAAGGGCAATAAAGTATTGAGACTTGTTTGAGAGCAGTACCATGTACTTACCACGCTACGCTCGACACCTTGGCTGTCCGAACCCATGTGTGCAGCGTTGTTAGCCACGTGCGGCGACGGTGAACGCGGCCTTGCGGCTCACTAAACCTGAACCCACACTATTGGCCATTCTCTTTCGCGATGCGCTGTACACTACACATTCTAGTAATAAAGATGTACCAGGAGGCTCAGTGTCATACATACATGATATGCAACTAGATTTAACTTAATTTTTTACTTTCAGTGGTTTTCCTTATGTGCCTCAAACTGCTGCTTAATATGCTTGAATGTATAACTCCGTTGTACACCCTTCACATAAGTACATGGCTTTCAAGCAAATTGTTTCACTCTCTGCACAAACTTTACCAAGCTTGCCTACCCCTACATATTGCAAACAAATGAATTTTATTGAGCTCAAATTGAATGTGAAGCTCCACAGTATACTCTATTAGCTCAGCGAAAGTGTAGTACAGGCAACATGCCTTTAACACTTAGTTTCCCACAGCAAAGCCAGTTGCACTAAACATATTTTTTTGCACACTTATATGTAATAAGGATGCATACAAAGGTATTAACCGGAAGCCTGGAAAATTTAGCTCTAATTACCAAAGAAAACAAATGTCCACATATGTGGACACTAGGTACACTAGGTCCATCATCCTTCTTCTATGTTCTTGGAAACTTTGCCTGCTGACAACTCCGTTTCAATGCCTTAGTCATCATCTTGATCACTACTTACCATAATTAATGCCTTCATGACCAGTTCAACCCATTCGTCATTAATATATTTTCGCTCATTATCACCACCAACCCCTTAATCCTCATGTTCCCCAACACTTTGATCATCACAATCATTATCATCATTCCAGGCCCATTCACTTCAGGCCTGCAGGTCTAATTCAATGTGTTTGTCATCATCTTTATTGTCATTGATTATTGTTACCAAAGTGTTCCTGGTTACAGTAGACTCTCAATAAACGGAAATCTGTTAAACGAAACTTCTGCCTCGGAAATCCTTGGTTTCGGGCTTGTATTGTGCACTCATGTTCACCTCTCAGTAAACGGAACTCCTGTTAAATGAAACATATTTTCCCGGCCCCTTCAGGTTCCGTTTACTGAGAGTTTACTGTACGTTTAAAGCGATGTTTCCATTATCAGCAGCAGCATTGTTCGAGAGGCCCCTGCTTGTCGATTGCTCTGTTTCAATGTAGTAATTGTCGCTGCTTTCCAAATCGGAACTTTTGCTCCCACTAGCCTACTTGAAAATTATGGCATAAATTTCTTCATAATGAAACCTACGTCTGAAATAAAGCAAAAAAATTTTAACTACAACTTGTAAAAAGTGTATTCAGCTATACTACAGATAATGTTTTACTATACAGCTATACTACAGATAATACTACAGATAAAGCCTGGAATATCTCGTACACAAATTTAGATTTCCGGGAGATTTTCATGGCACCCGTACAAACAGAAGAAACTGTCAAAACCTGAGTCTCCCGGACAATGAGGGGGACTTGGCAGGTATGTGACGATAACACCAATATATACTGTTCACTCCTGGTGGCGGAATATAGCACAACGCCGTTTTCGTGGCCTCCTCGACTAGCTACGACAACGCGCCGTAGCCAATTGCGGAGGCCACGATATTATACTAATTTTATTTTTTTCTGTCAAAAATAAAAATCTTTCAGGTGATGATGGTGATGACAGTAGATTTTAGCGGCGCAAGGGCAACTCAGGCCAAAGAGCACCAAACACAGGGTTTTTCGTCGGTTCAATTATAGAAAAAAAATCTACCTAGGGTGGCAAGAATAAAGAGTGGGGCATAGGGATTAAACTTAAGTGTAATAACTATGTGTGATGAGTTTAAAACGGTATAAACCTATGGGTTTTAAAAAGTTACGCAGTGGCGGCAGTGGTCCTTGCCAGGACAAGGAGTGCGTGCTGCATGACATTTGGTAAAGAAGTCTCAGCGGTTCTCTCAAGATTGAGAGAGGCTTAGATTAGTGAGAATGTAATGGAATGCAGGAATCCAACATCAGTTAAGAACTGTAAAACTACTTTTGTGGGAAACATGGTATCCTCACCAAGAAAAAATAAAGGGTGAGGCGGTATGTGGCATTTGTATAGCTTTGGGAAGTGATGCAGTCTTTCAGGTTCAAGGTACAGGCACATAATTAAAACCTGAACGACAGATAGCACATCACCACATTTTTCACAACACGGTGCTGGAGACTTGCTTAAAAGGTGCGAGTGTGTTGCATGTGTTTGACCGATCCTGAGTCTGCACAGTGCAACCTCTTGATGCCTGTTACATTTTTCAAGAGCATATCTACATTATCTTGGCTTTACTGTGTGCAATTTGTTTTCAATTGCTGCATTTTATTCCTCTTGCCATTGCCTACGCATTCCGTTTCTGGTTAGCGGCCTCAAGTCCTCATATGGGATGACGACTACGTCTACTGTTGGGCGGAGTCCAGCGAACTTCGCAAGTAGTTCCGCTGCCTCATTGCCAGTTATGGTGCAGTGTCCCGGAATCCAGCATACCGTGATTTTAGGCTTGGATCTGTAGGCTGACATGAGGCAGTTTAGAAGGGTATTAGTCACTGGATTTTTATGCGTCTTTGAGGAAGACAACGCAGTCACTGCACTGAGGGAATCTGTGTATATTATGAAGGCTGGTTCTTTCTTCTTTAAGATGTGCCTTATAGCTAGCAGTATGCCATAGCACTCAGCAGTAAATATGCTGGTATGTTCATTCATTGTTGCAGATTCACAGTACGCTGGGCCGTATGCAGCACATGCGACGGCCGAGGACTTGGAACCATCAGTGTAGTACTCAGCACACCTGTATTTTGCCTGCAAGTACATAAAATGCTGATCGATTGCAACTGGGAGGCTATGCTTTCCTACCTCTAGGAATGACAAGTCACAATTGACAGCCCGCATTTTCCATGATGCTAGCGTGTCCTTGTGGGAGCTTAGTTGAAGATTGGAGACGAGTATATGCAGATTTTTAAAGTGTGAGGCCACTCTGATGGGATACGTTGGCGTAGCTGATGGTCGCCTCAAAAACAGGTGGGTGTTTGATGTATCCTGCAATAGCTCGCGAGATGGGTGGTCGACGTGGGAAAGCACCTTGGTTGCATACTTGATGTTAGTGAACTGCCGTTGTTGTTCTAATGACCACCAAACTGTCTCAACATACAGGCAGGCTGTTGGGCTGGTTCGGAAAGGACCACTAGCCAGACGAAGCCCATGGTGATGCACTGGGTCGAGCATCTTAAGTGCGGATCTCGATGCTGATTCGTACACAACCGAGCCATTATCAATTCGTGAGAGCACTACACTACTGAGAAGGTTTAATAGACAGTCACAATCTGCACTCCATGACTGATTCGAGAGAATCTTGAGCAAGTTCAAGGCTTTCAAGCATTTCAGTCGCAGCTGCTTGTTATGTGGCACAAAGCTGAGCTTTTCATCCATCACAACACCTAGAAATTTATGATCCTTCTTAGTAGCAATGGTGTGTTCATCCATTGAAATGTTGGGGGATGGCCTCATGCCACTAGTTTAGAAAAGAGTAGGCAACCAGTCTTGTCACAGTTAAAACTTAAAACCATTTTTGTCTGCCCAGCCTGAGAGCTTATTTACTGCCAACTGAATCTGACGTTCGCAGATGGCTAGGTTGCACGATTTGAAGCTGATCTGAATGTCATCCACATATACAGAGTAGGAGATTGTTTTAGACAGGATAGTGTTTATGGAGTTCATTTTTACAATGAATAGTGTGCAACTAAGCAGGCCACCCTGGGGGACACCATTTTCCTGCGTAAACCGCTCTGAAAGGACATTTCCAACACGAACCATGAACGTACGTTCAGAGAAGTAGCTTTCAATTGTATTCAGCATGTTCCCTGACACTCCAAGAGATTGCAAGTCACGGAGAATGCCACAATGCCATGTCGTGTCGTAAGCCTTCTCCAAGTCGAAAAATACAGAAAGGCAGTGTTGTTTGTGAATGAAGGCATCCCTGACGTAGGATTCGAATGCTACCAGTTGGTCAGTTGTCGACCGGCCTGATCTCAATCCAGCTTGACAACGGTCAAAGAGGCCATTATATTCAAGGTAATACATGAGGTGGCGGTTTACCATTTTTTCAAATACCTTGCACAAGCAGCTAATCAAGGCGATATGCCTATAACTAGCAACAAGTGTGGCTTCTTTTCTGTGAGGATGGGTATAATAACTGCCTCTTCCCAGGCCTTGGGTAGGCGCCCGGAGGACCATACGCTGTTGAACAGTAAGAGAATGGCATCAAGCGTGTGTTCGTGTAAGTGTTTCAGCATGCCATATGTAATCTTGTCTGGGCCTGCTGCTGAGTTGCCACATGTTGCCAGCACTGCCTTCAAATCGTCTATGGTAAACAAAGTATTGTAGCCTCCAGCAGATGGCCTTCTATCACGGATACGCTTACGTTCCTCACCAAGCTTGTGTCGTTTAAAGGAGTCTGCATAATGTGCTGAGCTGAAGATGTACTCAAAATGTTGGCCTATGGCATCTGCCTGGTGTTCCAGCGTATCACCAGCAGTACTGACGAGAGGGACCAGATGAGTGTTGTGCCCTTGAAGTGCTCTTACCCTGTTGTACACCCTATGCGTATCAGTGTAGGAGTTAACTGACAAGAGAAAGGACTGCCAGCTTTGCCGCCACTTTGATTCTTGTTGGATACGCCTACCATTTACTTTTGCACGTTTGAAATTCATCAGGTTGTCAGCTGTAGGGTACCTGCGAAATTTCGACCAAGCTTTGTTTTGGTTCTCGCGAGTTTTTTTGCAATCCGCAAATGGATTGCCTCTTTAAGGCAATCCATTTGCTAGCCTGATCCCATTACACTGATATGTTTTGTCCACAAATGTGTTTGTCAGGACACAAAGGGTTAGGCTTACATTTCTGTTTCCCTTTCCAGTGATCTCGCAGATAGTCAGAGATTCTCGAGCTGGTTCTGGAGGCTCAGCGGTAGCATCACTCAGCACGGGTGCCTCCCTGCATGTGTCAACGACCTTTTGTTCTTTCTGCCGGGTAAGCCGACAGCCAGCTTTCGTCTTTGGGGTTGATGGAGGCTTTTGCACAGGTTGCTCCACTTTTGGATCTCGTGTGCCACCTGAGGCTGCAGTGGCTGCAGCTGCCCTTCTAGTCGTCCTCCTATAAAAGAAGTTTAGGATAGATTAATGCGACTCTCATAAACCGTTTGCATAGTCTACACATGTGACTCACAAAGAGGAATCTGCGGGACCCATGTGGCCGGGCCCCTGGCAATGTATAGCCCAATCAGAAGATCAGATTGCGCTCAAATATGTCAGGCTAGACCACAATAACAGTATACCTCCCATAATTCCCTCATTCCCGGGCGCTACCGGGGTCATCAAAGGTAATGGCCACAAGGACTTCATAGAAAGACGAGCAACCAGCAACCACGCATTTCTTTGCTCTCGTATTGATCAGAACAAATGTCAGCAGTTCTGCAGCTATTGTATGCACTATTATCGTACAGCTGTTCTCAATCCCCCTATTATAATCTAACCGCACATTAGGACAATACACAAAGAAAGAACAAACAAATGCAGATAAACATGTGGGAAAAAAAATTTATGAAGATTTAACAACTTGCCCAACTTTCCATAGCGTTGACTCAATTTTTCTACATTCCAAAAAATTATCCTGCTTCTTTTATTGCAATTCCTCCAATTTCTATCTACATAAGAGTGTGCCTGAAAAAAATAGGCTTTGTTATTGCTTTTTCTGTAACTATTCCCCAGTTCCGTGCTAGTTGCTAGCAGTAGCAACAATGAAGGTCCTACAATATAATCTGCAGAATATAAAATCTGAGCGACAGGTTTAGCTTTGAATTTCCAGTGGCACCTTTGTATAATCGATGATCTTTTGCTAAACATTATAAATATAGAAATCAAATGAAAGTACAGCACCAATTGGCCAGTTCTGTTCTCACAAAAAGAGAGGATAAATAAGTTCATCAAGGGCTCCAAGGAGTTTGGCTAGCATGTTTTCTCTTCAGGCACAAAGGGGTCCATTTGACAAGTTGTTCAAGGAGTGTGTGCATGCCTAGAATTACACATATAAATATTAAGTATCATAAAATGCTCTGGCTAATGACTGGCTCAAAGACCACAGCCCTGAGCGCACAATATGTATTGTAATGATGGAATGCCTTTATAGTAGACTCGCGATAATTCAAACTCTGATAATTCATACTGTGGCGAAGCCTTCGAACAGTGGGTCATCCTCTTGAGCGCCTTCTAGTGGGTTGCCCTTTTTTAGCAAAAAGAAGAGCAGCTCGTGCAGAGAGTCGGTACCCGCATTGACTGTCGCTGTCAAGCATCGTCGACAAGTATCCGCCAATAAACGTCTCAACAATTTGGTGGAGAGTGCTGTGCCCTTCTAACACCTTCGGTTAGCATTCAATGCCCCTGGAGCTTCGATACCGCACCGTGCCTTCTACCATGCACCAAGACGCCGCACAGCAAACGCTTCCTCCTGCGCCGACGCCATGTTCCGGTGTCCCCCGCATCCGCGACCCTCCTGTCTTCACCGGCGCGGATGGCACTGACGTCGAGGACTGGCTCGCTATGTACGAATGCGTCAGCGTCCCCAATCATTGGGACGAGGCAGGTAAACTCGGCAACCTCGTTTTCTACCTTGCGGGTGTGGCCGGCATGTGGTATAACAACCACGCATCCGATTTCCCCACTTGGTCCGCTTTCAAAACCGCCGTCGTCGACGTGTTCGGCCGTCCTGCCGTTCGTAAGCTGCAAGCCGAACAGCGGTTACGTGAACGAGCACAGCAGACCGGTGAGTCCTTCACAAGTTATATAGAGGACATCTTTGACTTGTGCAAGAAAGTGGACCCGAGCATGTCAGAGGCCGACAGAATTACCCATGTTCTAAAAGGCATCGCCGACGATGCCTTCACCATGCTCCTGCCCAAGAACCCTCGCACTGTGGCAGAGATCATTACACTATGCCAAAGTTACGAGGAGCTGCGACGGCAGCGCTCGATGACCCGTCGACCGCCCTCACGTGACGCTGATCTCTCGGCCTTGTCAACACTTCCTGACCACACCGCCTTGCTCGCTGAAATCAAGTCATTCGTGCGTGAGGAAGTTGCCCGCCAGGTCTCTTTACTGGCCTTTGCTTCCCCGCAACGTGCTGAACAGTCGTCAAGCACACTTCTGCCTCCCCTACGCCGAGCCATTCAGCAGGAAATCGCGGAGGTCGTTCCAGAATACCACCAGCCGCCTCCAGTATCTACACCACTCAGTTACGCCCAAGTTTTCGCCAGGCCACCCCCACAGATTCCGGTGATTGGCCCCCTTGGTTACACCGAAACCATCGCCAGACCCCAGGCCTTCGGAGAAACTGTGCCGCCTACATATACCGACGTCATCCACGTGTCCCGTGTGCCACCCACTATGCAGTTATATCAGCAGCCGGCTCGCCCATCGCGTTCTTCGACATGGATGGGACCCGCGAACCGATGGCGCACTGCGGACAATCACCCCATCTGCTTTGCTTGTGGTTGCGTCGGTCAGGTCACGTAGCACGCTACTGCAATCGTGTGCAGCGACCGCAGGTCGCCTCCAATTATCCCAGCCAATCGAGCCGCTTTTATGACCAACCGCCGCCTACGTCACCGTCGTCCCGCCCCGCTCCATCTACCCGCCAATCACATTCTCCGCGACGTCGCTCACTGTCGCCGATGCGACCACGTTCACTAGAGGGTGACCAGGAAAACTAGTCGTCGCAGTCCACGAGGCAAGGGCTGCGACGCTGTCGAACTGCGGAAGCCCTCAGGAAAGCCCATCAAACGTGATAGACGTGCTTGTGGATGGTGTTCGTGCATCTGCCCTTGTAGATACTGGAGCCGCCGTATCCGTCATGGACGCAAAGCTTAGCCGATTACTGCGCAAAGTGACCACGCCACTTTCCGGGCTCTCCCTCCGTACAGCCAGCGCCCAAAGCATTCACCCTACAGCGATGTGTACAGCCCGCCTCATGATTCAGGACGTGATGTATGCCGCCGAATTCATCATAATTCCTTCATGCTCTCACGACGTCATCCTAGGATGGGATTTTCTCTCCCGCCACGACGCCGTCATTCATTGCGCACCAGCAGAAATAGAGCTGACACCATTCTCTTTTTTGACGCCGGCCGACAGTCCATCTGCTGCAAGGAAGTTACTTGTCAGGGACGACACGCGAGTGCCTGCAAACTTGTCCGCGGCGGTGTCGGTTTACTGCGCAAGTCTTTCCGACACCGCTGCACTCCTCTCACCATCTCATCGTGTTTTCACCAGAAAAGGTTTGCTGGTTCCTTTCGCGACCGTGCAAGTCACTCGCGGCAGCACCACTATTTTTGTTCTGAACTCATCCCCGTACAGTGTTACGTTGGTGCGAGGGGAATGTCTTGGCAGTGTGGAACCCATCGAAGACGCACAAGTCATGGATCAACCTGATGACACGCACTGCCGATGTTCCAATACGGTTAGTGCCGTTTCTACATCTGTTTCATCATCCGCTGATGTATTCGGTCCTTCCATTGCCGACAACCTTACGCCGGTCCAGCGCTCCCAGCTTCTGGCCCTGTTGGAAGAATTCCACTCTTCTTTCGATGTCGCTCAACCTTCTCTCGGCCGCACATCCACTGTTACTCATCGCATTGACACAGGCGCACAACCACCACTACGGCAACGTCCATATCGCATATCTCCCACAGAACGCCGTGTAATCAACGAGCAAGTGGACGACATGCTACGCCGCGATGTTATTCGACCCTCTAACAGCCCCTGGGCGTCTCCTGTCGCTCTCGTCGCGAAGAAGGACGGTTCTGTGCGGTTGTGTGTGGACTACCGACGCCTCAACAAGATCACTCGTAAGGACGTGTATCCACTACCGCGTGTGGATGACGCGATTGACAGCCTGCAAGGAGCCGAATTCTTTTCATCTCTAGATTTGCGCTCAAGGTACTGGCAAGTACCTATGGCTGCAGACGCTCGACCGAAGACCGCTTTCGTCACTCCCGACGGCTTGTACGAATTCAACGTCATGCCGTTTGGGCTGTGCAATGCGCCCACCACTTTTGAGCGCATGATGGATACCGTTCTGCGTGACCTGAAATGGCACACGTGCCTGTGCTACCTCGATGACGTCGTCGTTTTCGCTCCGGACTTCTCCACGCATCTTCAACGCTTGCGGCATGTTTTAACGCGTCTGAGTGACGCCAGTCTGCAACTGAACCTGAAGAAGTGCCGATTTGCAGCTCGGCAGTTGACAATACTCGGCTACGTCGTGTCGAAGGACGGAATTCTCCCCGATCCAGCCAAGCTTCGGGCAGTGACCGAGTTCCCCAAGCCGACATCCGTCAAGGAACTGCGCAGTTTCATAGGACTGTGTTCCTACTTTCGGCGCTTCATCCGAAACTTCACGTCCATCGTATCGCCGCTGACAAAGCTCCTCGGTAGTAATGGGCCTCTCCATTCGTGGTCATCACAGTGTGACGACGCATTCACAACGCTCCGTCGTTTGTTGACGTCGCCTCCCATACTCCGCCACTACGACCCTACTGCCCCTACTGAGGTACACACGAACACCAGTGGTGTCGGTCTCGGCGCTGTCCTTGCGCAGCGCAAACCAGGGTTCCCGGAATATGTCGTGGCGTATGCAAGCCGTACGCTTACAAAAGCCGAGACTAATTACACCGTCACTGAGAAAGAATGTCTGGCAATCGTCTGGGCCCTTACCAAGTTCCGACCTTATTTGTATGGTCGCCCATTTGATGAAGTCACCGACCATCACGCACTATGTTGGTTGTCATCATTGAAAGATCCCTCAGGCCGTCTCGCCCGGTGGGCACTTCGCCTGCAAGACTACGACATCCGCGTGCTGTACCGCAACGGAAGGCAGCATGCTGACGCCGACGCCCTGTCACGCTCTCCCTTGCCTAACGACAATGCCCATGACTCAGCGTCTCACCTTGCCATTTCTTCCATTAGCATTCATGCCGTTGCTACTGAACAGCGCAAGGATCAATGGATTGCCTCACTGATAGACTTGCTGACTGATCCATCCACTCCATCCACTCGCGCGCGGCGTCGTCAAGCCCACCATTTCGCCGTTCGCGACGACCA